TGATCAAATTAGAGAAGGACAGACTTAAATAAATGTGTTGCATAAAAGATTTATGACCAAATTAGATTTTTGAAAAACAATTTTACACGGAACCCCGCTCGTTAATTATGAATTTAAACTTTGAGAGAATCCATGAAAGTAATTGCTCTAAAGTAATTCTATATATTTAGTTGTTTCACAAACTGAGTAAACAAATAACGATGTAAAAAACGACATGCCATAGTTATTTAAGAAAAAATAGATGTCCAATCGGCCGACTTTTAAATCTTTTTTTAAACATGGTTCTGTATCAAGTTAGTTTAAAAAGTTTGCTGATAGGTAGTATACAACCATGTTTGGTGTAATTTTTTTTTAGCTTACCTGGCCCAAAGGGCCAAGTGAGCTTTTCTCATCACTTGTCGTCTGTCGTCCGTCGTCGACTGTCGTCTCCGTTAACTTTTTACATATTGAATTCTTCTAGTGAACCACTGAATGGAATGAAACCAAACATGGCATGAATGTTCCTTATGAGGTGCTGCCCAAGTGTTTTTACTTTGTAGCCGATCCATCATCCAAGATGGCCGCCAGCAGGGGACTTAGTTTAACATAGGACCCTATGGGAAATACATACAAATGTCTTCTTTTAGAGAACCACTGAATGAAATGAAACAAAACATGGCATGAATGTTCCTTATGAGGTGCTGACCAAGTGTTGTTACTCTGCAGTCGGTCCATCATCCAAGATGGCCGCCAGCGGGGAACTTAGCTTAACATAGGAGCCTATGGGAAATACATACATACAAATGTCTTCTTTTAGAGAACCACTGAATGGAATGAAACCAAACATGGCATGAATGTTCCTTATGAGGTGTTGACCAAGTGTTGTTACTTTGCAGTCAGTCCATCATCCAAGATGGCCGCCAGCGGGGGACTTAGTTTAACATAGGACCCTCTGGAAAATACATACAAATGTCTTCTTTTAGAGAACAACTGAATGGAATGAAACAAAACATGGCATGAATGTTCCTAATGAGGTGCTGACCAAGTGTTGTTACTTTGCAGTCAGTCCATCATCCTAGATGGCCGCCAGGGGGGGACTTAGTTTAACATAGGACCCTACGGGAAATACATACAAATGTCTTCTTTTAGAGAACCACTGAATGGAATGAAACAAAAGATGGCATGAATGTTCCTTATGAGGTGCTGACCAAATGTTGTTACTTTGCAGTCGGTCCATCATCCAAGATGGCCGCCAGCGGGGAACTTAGTTTTCCATAAAACCCTATGGGAAATATATACAAATGTCTTCTTTTAGAGAACCACTGAATGGAATGAAACAAAACATGGCATGCATGTTCCTTGTGAGATGATGACCAAATGTTGTTACTTTGCAGTTGGTCCATCATCCAAGATGGCCGTCAGGGGGGGACTTAGCTAAACATAGGACCATATGGGAAATACATACAAATGTCTTCTTTTAGAGAACCACTGAATGAAATGACACAAAACATGGTATGAATGTTCCTTATGAGGTGCTGACCAAGTGTTGTTACTCTGCAGTCGGTCCATCATCCAAGATGGCCGCCAGCGGGGGACTTAGCTTAACATAGGAGCCTATGGGAAATACATACATACAAATGTCTTCTTTTAGAGAACCACTGAATGGAATGAAACCAAACATGGCATGAATGTTCCTTATGAGGTGTTGACCAAGTGTTGTTACTTTGCAGTCAGTCCATCATCCAAGATGGCCGCCAGCGGGGGACTTAGTTTAACATAGGACCCTCTGGAAAATACATACAAATGTCTTCTTTTAGAGAACAACTGAATGGAATGAAACAAAACATGGCATGAATGTTCCTAATGAGGTGCTGACCAAGTGTTGTTACTTTGCAGTCGGTCCATCATCCAAGATGGCCGCCAGCGGGGGACTTAGTTTAACAAAGGACCCTACGGGAAATACATACAAATGTCTTCTTTTAGAGAACCACTGAATGGAATGAAACAAAAGATGGCATGAATGTTCCTTATGAGGTGCTGACCAAATGTTGTTACTTTGCAGTCGGTCCATCATCCAAGATGGCCGCCAGCGGGGAACTTAGTTTTCCATAAAACCCTATGGGAAATACATACAAATGTCTTCTTTTAGAGAACCACTGAATGGAATGAAACAAAACATGGCATGCATGTTCCTTGTGAGATGATGACCAAATGTTGTTACTTTGCAGTTGGTCCATCATCCAAGATGGCCGCCAGCGGGGGACTTAGTTTAACATAGGACCCTATGGGAAATACATACAAATGTCTTCTTTTAGAGAACCACTGAATGGAATGGAACAAAACTTGGCATGAATGTTCCTTATGAGGTGTTGACCAAGTGTTGTTACTTTGCAGTCAATCCATCATCCAAGATGGCCGCCAGGGGGTGACTTAGCTAAACATACGACCATATGGGAAATACATACAAATGTCTTCTTTTAGAGAACCACTGAATGGAATGGAACAAAACATGGCATGAATGTTCCTTATGAGGTGTTGACCAAGTGTTGTTTCTTTGCAGTTAGTCCATCATCCAAGATGGCTGCCAGCGGGGGACTTAGTTTAACATAGGACCCTATACGAAATACATACAAATGTCTTCTTTTAGAGTATCACTGAATGAAATGAAATCAAACATGGCATGAATGTTCCTTATGAGGTGCTGACCAAGTGATGCTACTTTGTTGCCGATTTAATGTTCAAGATGGCCACCAGGATATTTTATTAAATAACGGGACCAATATTAAACTAAATTTGGCCTCAATCATTATTTGGGTATCTGTTATGATTTTTATCTATCTTTACATGATTTCTAAAACCAAAGTAGAGTCAGGTGAGGGACACAGGCTCTTGAGAGCCTCTAGTTTAGGATTCGGGAAACTGTGATTGCTTTTGTCATTACCTTGTCTGGTTAAAACAATCGTACGCCTTGCAAGTGAGTTTGACACTGAGATGCTGATCTCTTATCTAGGGGAATAAAACGTTAATATTAATGAATTTGTGCTTTTTTATTCATAATGAACATAATATAAATTTTTATACGACCGCAAAAAAGTTTTGTTGTCGTATATTGGTATCACGTCGTCGTCGTCCGAAGACAGTTGGTTTCCGGACAATAACTTTAGTAATAGTAAATAGAAATCTATGAAATTTAAACACATGGTTTATAACCACAAAAAGAAGGTTGGGATTGATGTTGGGGGATATGGTCCAAACAGTTTAGGAATTAGGGGCCAAAAAGAGGCCCAAAAAAGGCATTTTTCTAGTTTCCAGACAATAACTTGTGTTTAAGTGTATGGATCTCTCTGAAATTATAGCACAAGTTTCCATACCACAAAGGGAGGGTTAGAATTGACTTTGTTGGGTTTTGGCTCAAACCGTTTAGGAATTGGGGGCAAAAAAGGGGAAAAAACAAGGGTTTCCTGGTTAATGGACAATTTAAAAGCAGTGTACGGGAGGTAATCCAAAAACAAAATTGTACAATGTTGTACAATGTTGGATTACCTCCCTTACACTGCTTTTAAATTATCTATTTAAGACTTTTATGATGTATTCAAATGAGTAATTATGGTTGCAAACTCCATTGGTAATTTGAATTGAGATTATGACCAAATCTTGAGGGAAAGAATTTTTTTTTTGGAAAAGACGGGGGGGCATTTTTTTTCTCATTTCAGATTTCAGAAATTAAACAAAATTTCTTCAGATATTTTTTTTTTTTGCCAAAAAAGGGGGGGGGGGGGGGGGGGTTCAATACGCAACAGCATAGTGTATTGCACAAAAGCAAAAAAAAAAAGGGTTAATTTTTAATTTTTTTTTGGGGGGGGGGAGGGGGTCAATTCGCACATTCTGTGTCAGAAACCTATTATGTGTCAAATATTTAATTACAATCCAAATTCAGACCTGTATCAAGCGCGAATATTGTGTCCTTTTTTTCCCCAACTGTTCAGGGTTGGACCTCTGCGGTCGTATCAAGCTGCGCCCATGGAAGCAATTTATTCAATTTTTTGCGAAGTTTCCCTTGAAGTCAAATTAAACTCATGAAACTAGACCAAGATTAAGGAGAAGGCTGAGGACTTGCAAACATGTTTAACCCTTCCAACTTCTGTATGTGCCTGTCCCAAGTCAGGAGCCCGTAATCAGTGGATGTCGTTGTTTGCTGTCAGATATATTTGTTTTTCATTTATTGTACATCATAAATCAGGCCATTGGTTTTTTCTTTTGAATTGTTTTATAATTTGTCAATTTTGGACTGTTATAGCTCACTTTAAGGTGTTTTGCTCATTGATTGAGGCTGTATGTCATACATTGTAGGACGATGTTTATCTGTTTATTAGTATATCTGCAACTTTTGGTGTCTGGTGGGCTAAGTTGCCTCATTGGCAATCACCCCACATCTCTTATTTTTATACAAATCAAGATATTTTACTTAAGCATTTGTTATTTGTCAAGCTTCAGTGACAAGTTAAGATGAATTAACCACTTCCAATAAATAAGTCTGAAAGATTAATCATTTCTGCTTTTGGTTTAATTGAGATGTTAGTCTCCTCATTTAGCAAAGCCTAAAGTTCTAAAATTTTATTTATTTTTGAGTCATTTTGTATATTGTATCAATAACTCCTTCTAAACTAGTAAAATTTCAATCAAATCTTTTGTAAGAACCTTTAGTTCCTTATGGTGTGAATAGTATAATTTGCATCTCCTATTTTTGAGTTGATATTTTCTAAGTTGTTTATAACGATACATAGACGTATGAGATTTGAGAAGTGTGTTTGAGAATCCAGAAGTGTGCATATGAGATTCAGAAGTATGTAATTGAGAACCAAGAAGTGTGCATATGAGAATGGTGAAGTGTGCGTATGAGATTCAATAAGTGTGCATATGAAAATCAAGAAGCGTGCATATGAGAATTGAGAAGGGTGCTTAAGACGTGTGCAAAGAGTTTGAAGGCTCAGTTTTTCCAATTTTTCAATTATTTTTTTCAGACGATGATGATAACAATGATGATGAACACAGTGCTGATGCCTTAGTGACACAAATTGTCTTAGCTGTAGGTTCTATAACTACATTCCTGGCCATCGTCATTTGTATATTTGTCTCCTGCCGACATTCCAGATACCGTAATTGTGATTCAGTGTCTGAGAGGTCATCTCCAAGAACTGTACAAACAGAGATGGCAGAAGGGGAGGTAACTCGTCAAGGTTCTATGCCAGAACTGGACAGTTTGATTGGAAATACAAATAAACAAATAGGTAATGAAAAACTATTAGGGATGTCAACGAGTACTCAAGTAATCGAGTATAGCTCGGTAGTACAGAGTGTCGAATAACATATTGATACTCGGCTGACTAATCGGTTTCCTGTTAGAATGTTGTTATTGACTTCTTAAGGAAAACAATATTTTTATTAAGAGCGTGTCCCGTGAAATTGAATATTTATCTCAAAATGAATCAAAATTAAAATACGTTTCGAATGTTTGCGTTTCATTGTCATTTAAAATGAGAGGTAGGCTATCAAATATAGAACCTTTCCAAGGCTTACAATTTTAGATAAATGTGTCCTAGTCATTCCACCACCTCTGTACCATCAGAGCAAATATTTTTATCATCAGGACTGTTAGTTACGTAAGAAAGTTGAGAAATCGACTCGTCCAAAACAAATTTGACAAGATAATATTTCTAAATAAGAACAAACTCGTTGCAGCCTGTGTCAACCCTCAGAGAATGGTTAAAGGCATCAGTAAGTTCTAATCATCACACCTTTGTTGATCATTAAAAGTATTTCTTTAGAATTCCCAAATACTGTTGTTTGAGTACTCATTTTTCTATAGACGTTTATTATTTAATTGATTAGATTATTGCCAGTTTACATAATTAGTACATGTAGCATATGAGAAATCAGCTATTAATTATGATATAAAATTCCTAGGAGTATTATCTAGTCCTAGGTAATAATATTGAGTGTTTTATGTCCATAAGACAACGACCCACAATACGTAGAATTGGTATAATTTTGTGTTTCCATCATGAAGCTGTTTTTTCCAAGTAAGTACTCGAGTATCGCTCGGTAAATCCAACGAGTACTCGATTAGTAAATCTTCACCGAGTTGACATCCCTAAAAACTATTGAACGTTTAAGAAATTTCAAAAGGTTCTCATGATATATAAAATAAAATCTTGAATATTCGACTGCACAAAATACAACACCATCACTAGGGACTATCCTCCGATTATCTCCAAAATACAGCTCACCAGGGTCATAGGCAACAGTAACTGTTTTCATCAATTTGGGTCCGACTCTATTGTGACGTCCATCCATTGATATGTAATACATATTTATCATTTCCACTGAAGCCACCAGGCCATTTTGAGCCAAACTTAGCAGGTAAGATAAAAACTATTTTCATTTAAAGATGACCCGCCTCCCAGGGTGACTAATAGTCACTTTGGTCTTATTCTGAGGCGAGCAGTAAAACTCTTGCCAAATTAGGGCGTTAATTTAAAATGTGAGTGATACATGTATACGCAGCCATGTCCGGTCAGAATGGGGATGCTAAATCTGATGCATTCTGTAAAGAGAGTGTCACGCTCTCTGCACAATAAAAATCCTAGCAACAACTCTATCGACGGGTCTGTAGGTGGTATGTTGCAAGGCAAAATTTCTGTCCCTTTCCAATATACCCTTATTTTCCAGTTGCAGTCCAAATTTCCCCGACCTTCATCCCAGACAGCCTCTTTTACAGGACCTATCTATTGTATGTATTGTTAATCTATTCTGGTCCTGAACATGCATGAAATTCATATCATCCCATTTGCAAAACCCATACCGTATAGTAAGCGTTAAAAGGCCCCAGCATGACAAAATGTGAAACAATTCATACCAGAAAATTAACAGCCTGTTTATAACAGTTTAAATTAGTTCAATTGTTCAATTAGTTATTGAAGAAACTTTGAATATAGCATTAAAGGGGCACTAGCTGTCAAATTCATGTGCACCGATTTGACTCATATTTTATTTATAACAATGTAAAACATCTATCCATATTATAAAAAGTCTAAAATAAACAATATACCGGACATGGACTCGATAATATGTAGCTTCATTTCATGTGTATTTTAGTGTAGACCCCATCTATTTAACTGTCGAGTTGACCCCCGAAGACCTCCGATTGCCATATAAGCGGTGTAAACATAAATATAGATATAAATAGATATCAGACTCATTTATATTTTTCTATGTCTGTTTAATTTCATATTATAGATTAAAAATATATGTTAATCATCGTTTTTACCTGTATCAGAATGATTTTTTGTGGATCGAATCAGTCAATCAAATGATTTACATTTGTTTCACTTTCAATGTTGACATTCTTTTCTTTTAAATAATTGAACACGCACAATGCATGCGGTATCCATCTCTAGCTAAGGGGTTAAATTGAATTCACATGAATACGGATTCAATGAGGTCGAATTATTCACTTGCAAGTGAATAATTCATCATCAATGTTTCTTAGCTTATTTTGACAAAATTGAACTATACTGGCTGCTTAAGCGATATATTATTTCACTATTTCACTTTCATTAATGATTGAACAAAAAAGAATCATACTTTAGATTTTTTATATATCTCGTAGCTAGTGCCCCTTTAACAATAAATTAAAAAAAAATGTTGATTTTTTTAGATTCATTAATGAGCCAACCAGATCAGAGAGATACACCTCCACCGTCCTATTGGGATGTATTGGTAGATGATGCTGTTGTTAAGTGATGATGATTCAATTAGTCCCTATTGAATGATAAAGTGATGATTTATATGTGAGAATCTGTTTGTGTATGAACTACCTTGTCTAACAAGAGACATGACAATAAGTATATGTGCTGAACACTGGTTTACATCGATCATATCAATGTTTTTTGTGTAGGATTTCATTCATTTTTCATAAAATCTTACAATTCAAATTAGTCATAAGTTCATTCTTAATATGGATATTAAGTATAAGCTGTTTACATTAATAACTGTTCTATGAATGAGCTGTACTAAAATGACTTCTCTTTATACTATTGTCTCATTTATTTTGTAAAATGCAAAGTTGAATGTGAGTAAATACCTCAAATTATGTTATTTGTTTTTGTTTATGTGTAGTTATGTCAATCTTCATCAGAACAAAACGCATTTCAACCAATGACTGCAACATTCTACTAACGTTTACTAGTTGAAACAGCAAAAAGGAGCCTTTAACAAAAGTTAAAAGTTGGTGCGGGTGGCAAATGTATCTTTTTTTTTTGCCTCAACTTGTAAAATCTATTGAAAGAACAAAAAATGTGCTTAAAAAAATCAGGACAGTTCTGATGAAATAGTTAAAATTTCCTTCAGAACCATTTCAATAGGATAGAAATAAAACATATTTGGTAATGATGCCAGAGCTTAAAAAGACTTTTTATATTTATGCACTATTTCATACTTTGTACAACAAAGTAAATACTGTGGATTCATTTATTTTCGTGGGTACCACTTTTCGTTGATTGAGGAAAAGTTGCATTTTCGTGGATATTTAATTTCGTTGTTTTGGCAAAGTCTGCGTACATTCCTTTAGAAAATTTGTAATTCGTTGAACATTTAAATTTGTGGTTCCCCTGTACCCACGAAATCCACGAAAATTGGTATCCAACGAATATTAATGAATTCACAGTATTATATCTACAGTTGTCTATTTTTAAAGTCCATATATTGTCTTCTAGATGTTTTGTCTAGTTTTTATACGACCGCAAAAAAATTTTTGTGGTCGTATATTGGTATGACGTTGGCATCGTCGTCGTCGTCTGGCGTCGTCGTCCGAAGACACATTAGTTTTCGCACTCTAACTTTAGTTTAAGTGAATGGATCTCAATGAAATTTTACCATAAGGTTCAATACCACAAAAGGAAGGTGGGGATTGATTTTGGGGGTTATGGTACTAACAGTTAAGGAATTAGGGGCCAAAAGGGGCCAAAAATAAGCATTTTTGTAACTTCCAGACATAACTTGTGTGTAAGTGTATGGATCTTTCTGACATTGTACCACAAGGTTCCATATTACAAAGGGAATGCTGGGATTGATTTTGGGGGTAATTGCCTCCAAATTTTAGGAATTAGGGGCCAAAAAGGGGCAAAAAACAAGCATTTTTCTAGTTTCATGACAATAACTTGTTTGTAAGTGTATGGATCTTTATGAAATTGTACTACAAGGTTCCATATCACAAAGGGAATACTGGGATTGATTTTTGGGGTAATTTCCTCCAAATTTTAGGAATTAGGGGCCAAAAAGGGGCAAAAAACAAGCATTTTTCTAGTTTCATGACAATAACTTGTTTGTAAGTGTATGGATCTTTATGAAATTGTACTACAAGGTTCCATATCACAAAGGGAAGGCTGGGATTGATTTTGGGGGTTTTCCCTCAAAATTTTAGTAATAAGGGGCCATAAAAAGGGGAAAAAAACATGCATTTTTCTAGTTTCAGGACAATAACTTGTGTGTAAGTGTATGGATCTTTATGAAATTGTACTGCAAGGTTCCATATCACAAAGGGAAAGCTGGAATTGAGTTTGGGGGTAATTGCCCTAAACGTTTAGGAATTTGGGGCCAAAAAACAAGCATTTTTCTAGTTTCCAGACAATAACTTGTGTTCAAGTGTATGAATCTCTCTGAAATTGTACTGCAAGGTACCATACCACAAAGGGAAAGCTGGGATTGAGTTTGGGGGTGATGAATCATAAGGGGGTTCAAAAAATTGGGGGGGGGGGATTTTTTTTTTCCTTTTTTTTCTTTAACATTTTCCATTTTAAATTGGTTATTTCTGATTTATATATAAAAGCAAATAATAATGATATGGTTTGAATAGGCATACATGTGAACCTCCCGACGGGAGTACAATAATCCCGTTTTCAGGGGTCTCCTCCCGACCTCCCGTTGAAGAGGAAAAAATCCCGTGTATGAAATTTTTCATGAATGAAAAATTTCTGCCCAACATATCATCTCAGGCATCAGGTGTAACTGACATTACCTGAAGTTATATTTTACCTGTAAATCAATTAACATGCATAATTATATGGCTTCACTTGTCAGCTTGGGTGTCAAACATACTGGTAATCAACGATTTTTACCTCAGGCTAACTGCCGTTGTGTAACAAAAACTGTGTATTTATTGGGTTACTTCCCTTGATTTATCCTGTTTTAAGTTACTTTCCTTTTGATAATGAAAATTTTTAAAAGAATATAAATAAAATATAAATTGAACAAATAATCATAAAAGGATGGTTATTACATGATTTTAAATGTCTTAGGACAAATAAAAAAATAATAATTTGAAAATTATTTGAGGATTCTATACTTCCTTTCAAGGCTTAAATTGAAATTTATATAATAACTATGACCCTAATTTTACAGATAGAATGATTTTCTGAGTTTGCAAATAAAAACTCTTTGCAAGAGAAAAAAAAAAAAAATAAAAACTATTTGCAGATAGCTAAACAAATGTTCTGGTTGCAATGATTGTTTTATAGAATATGAAGTAAAAAATTTAAAGAACATACTGGAAAAAAACAATGTTAGATTGAACATGTAGAATATAAAGATGGAGAAACTTTATAAGTACAAGGGTACTATAAACATAATAAATTGGATGGAAAGTTGAAGAAAACACACTTTAAAAGACCATTTTTACAGCACACAGTTACATTTACAACAAAATTAATGTCGATTAAAAACCTCCTGATCTGAGTCCTAATCTCCTGACCAAAATTTCCCAATCTCCTGATCTGAGTTTCACAGTCCATCACATGTATGAATAGGTAAATTGAAAATTTTTAAGTTCTTAGATCACTTTCATTCTGTGTCAGAAACCTATGCTGTGTCAAATATTTAATTACAATCCAAATTCAGTGCTGTATCAAGCTTGAATGTTGTGTCCATACTTGCCCCAACTGTTCAGGGTTCGACCTCTGCGGTCGTATCAAGCTGCGCCCCAGCGGAGCATTTTATTTTATATTCTAGTGATGTTATACACCTCTGTATAGTTATTTGTCTAGTTTTATGCATATTTTTTACAAATGAGATTGTTTTTAGATATTTGGATTTCTAAAATTAAAAATGTACAATTTGTATTTATCTACTCGTTGGTTCAGTTAATGAATGGTGTTTGTTGTTTTAATTATATGCTTGTATAATTTGCAAATTTGTACTTTTAGATTTTTTTAAAAATGCTTTATGATTTTTTTGCATGGGAACAGGCATGCACAGTATGAAAAACAAATCTATCAAATATATAATTATAAGTTACCACGGACAGCGCAGGATGTAATTTCTATGAAGACAGAAGCGATGTTTGCTGCAGTTTAGAATAGATAAATTAAATAAATGGTTCTTAAATTCTAAAATATACTACTCAAAAAACGTTTTGCAACACTTCCATTGAGATTGATGGGTGTCAAACATTGAGGGCCCATTTTGTTGTTGAAAATGATCTGAAATTAATAGCATCCTTGTTTTAAGGATATTGAATAGATTAAAGAAGAACAGTGAAAAAAAATATGAAAAAAATTTGGGGGGTTAAAAAAGTCCACCCCCTATTTTTTTTTAATATTTTTTTTTGCAAGGGTATTGTTAGTTTCTTAAAATTGTGACTTTTAATTTTGACCCCTCACCTTAAAGTATGTGAACAGTGTAGCTGTCTAAAATTTATACTGCCATAACTGTAGTACTTATGAACAGTCAGGGGCATTACTTAAATAAGTAACTTTTTTTAGTTACTTGTATAGGTAATTTTTGTTTTTAAAAATATAAAATTACTCAATAGAGTTATTTTCAATTTTAATAGAAGCATTGACTAGATGTAGTTTACATGAATTTTTACATCATTTTATATAAAGAAATTAAGAATTTTTTAGATTTGAGAGGAGTATAGACATAAAGGGTTACTTTAAAAATAATGACAAAAATGTTACTTGAATAAGTTATTGTATACATCTTTGAAAGAATTAGTAATACCACTTATTTAAGGAACATATGTAATTGTTTTGGGTTACAAATTATAAATAACTTTAAGTCTTAATTAATTCACAAGTTTCTATCTATTTATATCTGTCTACCTTCAAGATTTTCAAGGAAAACTAGATATCAAAGATAAGTGCGTCAGAAAGGCAATTAGTGTTTCAGAAGGATTAGATTTTATATTTTATGGAAACATAACCAGATGACTGTAAAAATTTGTTAAAACTAATAAAATTAACCTGTATAATTGGACACCTAAAAAATAATATTTAGAAAAGTTACTTATATAAGTAATTTTTAAAATAGCCTCGTTTTCAACATTACTTGTATAGGTAATTTTAAAAGTTATTTGTTTAAGTAATCCCCCTGACTGATGAATACATATAGATTAAAAGATTTATACAGATTTTATTTTATTTTACTTTTAGTTTAAAGTTTTTTGAGGAGTATATTCAATTTGTTGAAATTTTAAATTGGTTGAACTTTTTGAAATTTATACATCTCTTTCTTAATTCATAACCTACAATTTGCGAAAAGATAAGTATCATTATGATAAATTTTAATTGACAACTGTGTAAAATACAGGATTCAAGGGGGGTAGTGGGCATGAGCTCCGTCTTTGAGTGAAAAATATTTTTTAGCATAAAATCGTTCAAAAACATTTTGTAAAAAAAATTATATTTAAACCGTTTTCTTGAATTACACCCCTTCAAAATGATCCCCTGGCAAAATCCCCTGGATCTGCCACTGATTTAGCAAGTATCTCAAAAAGATAATAACAGTTATTATTGATTAAGTGCAATAAAAAAGTGATAGGTTTAATGAATTGTCAATCACAGTATAGTAACTGTTAACAGACTATATTGTAACAGTAAAGGCCTCTCTGATATTACACATAAGCTCATTTATGTTTGTGAATAAAGAATAGTTTCATGCTATGACTGCTTGGTCCTAATTATACTTTCATGAAAGCATTAGTGACTAAAATACTTTGTTAAAATACTCAATACATTTAAATTTACCATGAATCTTAATTTTGAACTTGTCTTAGATAATTGAGAGCTTATGTTTTTAGTAAAATTTCTGTTTTTTTAATATTCAATATCAAATTTTGTTCTAACTTGTTTTCTTTGTTTGTTTAATTGATCTCATAAGTTGTCGGAAAGTTCCAATTTAGTAATAATTTATGAGTGTTACTTGTTATTGATGTTTATTTATTGTACAATTTTGTTGTTATTTACACACGTTTTTAATTTTTTTTTTATTTTAATAATTTAAGACTTATTTTTTTTCAAATTACTTTGAGTATTTGAATATTGATTAATATATTAATAATACTTAGAAATTAATGTTATCTCAGTACATAAAACTTCCTCACACTTATGTCACCATAGCAGTGTGTGGATTTCTTTTAGAAAAAATACTTCGTCTAATACCTTTGTTATAAAATATCATCTGTGATGAATATGATGTGTGAAGCTTGTCCAGAAGCTATGCTAAATATTTAATGTCAGCTCATATCAGAAAGAGTACTTATGTTATAGCATTGATATATGGTATCAATTCAAAGTAAAACTAACCATATTAAGATGACTTTAAACACTTTTTTATGAGTATTTGTTTTCAAGTTTTAATTTGAATGTAACTCTGAACAATATTTGAATGTCCATGTGTTTTCTTAATTTCAAGAATTTGTAATGATTCATGTCCAAACTGAACATAGTTTGTAATATGTAATGCTCAATTAAACACATTGGATATACGCTTGTAAAATCTGTACTAACTGCAGAATGTACTAAAGTAACGGATAATATCATGCTATGACTTCTTGGTCCTAATTATACTTCCATGATATCAATAAGGACTAAAATACTCAGTTCATTTAGATTTACCATGCATCTGAATTTTGAACTGGTCTTTAATAGATAATTGAGAACCTAAGTTTTTGCTGGTCATAAACTGTATTTATAAATATTTTCCCAGTTAAATTTCTGTATCTTTAATGTTCAATATCAAATTTTGTTCTAGCTTGATTTCTATGGTGTTTTTTAATTGATCTCTTAGTTGTCAGAAAGTTCAATTGTAGTCATTATTTACAAGTGTGTTCATTGTTATTGATGTTTATTTATACCACAATTTTGTTGTTATTTACAAGTGTTTTTATTTTTTTATTTTATAATTTAAGACTTACATTTTACCAAGTAACTTTGAGTATATGAATATTAATTAATGTATTAAAAATACATAGACATTAATATTGTATTATTTATCTCAGTACAAAAACTCCCTCTTACTTATGTCACATTAGAAGTGTGATGATTGTTTTAGAAAAAGGCTGGGTTTAATACCCTTGTTATAAAATATCATCTGTGATGAATATTATTTGTGAAGCTTATCCAGTAGCTATGCTTATTATTTAATGTCAGTTCATATCAGAATGACTACTTATGTTATACCATTGATATATGGTATCAATTCAAAGTAAAACAAGCCATATTAAGATGCCAGATGCCCGTTTCTGGATAAATCTAATTAAAGCTATCGAGCCAAGATTTGATTGTCTGTTTCTAGTGCAGGAGCTCATAGGTCGAATCCCTAGCAGAATCAAAATTTGCAAGGACTTGAAAATTAGCATTTGCTGCTGTGCAAATTAGGTTACATATGAATATCGCATTAACATGTTCTTGTTGTAAATATGCAAATGACAATTGCCACTGATATCAGAATAAACAGTAAACCATCCATCCATCCAACGGTCCACTCACCCATCAATCAAATCACCCTAGGAAGGCGTCTCAGCAAAAAATATTAAAAAAAACCTTTTATGACAACATGATTATTTGGACTTTTAATCAGATATATAAATAAATTTACGTAAAATCGAATGCTTCTTTGTGATGTTTTATGACATCACCACCCCCCCCCCCCCCCCCCCCCCAAAAAAAAAAACCAAACTGAGATTTATACTGCGCATATACATATAATAAAGACAGGAAATAAAAAGATAATGTTTTAGATTTACTTATAAATATAGATTCTACCACTGCATCGAGTGTGATACGATATTTATCCACTCGAGACAGTTAAATTTTCAAATTTAAAACGCGAGGCTCGCCGAGCGTTTTAAATATTTAAAATTTAACTGTCGAGAGTGGATAAATATCGTATTACACGAGATTTGGTGGTGGAATCTGTTTCTCCAATGATTTTCAAACAATACGCAGGCAAATTTATTCCTTCTTTTCGAATGATCTGCAAAAAGGTGTGTTCTTTCTATGTGACGTCATCAGGCATGGTCGCCTTTTTTCATGCCGTCACAATAGGAAATTCTGAGGAAAGCAAGAAAATTCGACGTCATAATCGGATTTTAACCAATGAAGAACTGAGATCAAACGAACCACACGTTGATTACATTTTTTTTTATACAATGGGTGCAGAAAAGGATAAATTGACGAAGAATTAGAGAAAGTGGTTTTACTACTTTTGACCTCATTAAAATGTAAAACAAGTAGTCATTTTTAAAATGAATATACTTTATCTATTTCTTTTTTTTAAGCGTCTCATGGATATTGAACATCTTCATTCGGAATCTGGAAGTTTAAACAAAAAAACACAAACATATTAGTGTGCACTCTGTGTTTTTATTAGATGCATTTCTATTTGTATCCATCTGATGAGTTAAGCCTTTTTCAACTGATTTTTATACGACCGCAAAAATTGAATTTTTTTTGGTCGTATATTGGTATGACGTTGGCGTCGTCGTCGTCGTCGTCGTCGTCGTCGTCTGGCGTCGTCCGGCGTCGTCCGAAGACACATTGGTTTTCGCACTCTAACTTTAGTTTAAGTGAATGGATCTCCATGAAATTTTACCATAAGGTTCAATACCACGAAAGGAAGGTGGGGATTGATTTTGGGGGTTATGGTACCAACAGTTAAGGAATTAGGGGCCAAAAAGGGGCCAAAAATAAGCATTTTTGTAACTTCCAGACAATAACTTGTGTGTAAGTGTATGGATCTCTCTGACATTGTACCACAAGGTTCCATATCACAAAGGGAAGGCTGTAATTGATTTTGGGGGTAATTGCCTCAAAATTTTAGGAATTAGGGGCCAAAAAAGGGGCAAAAAACAAGCATTTTTCTAGTTTCATGACAATAACTTGTGTGTAAGTGTTTGGATATTTCTGAAATTGTACTACAAGGTTCCATATCACAAAGGGAAAGCTGGAATTGAGTTTGGGGGTAATTTCCCGAAACGTTTAGGAATTGGGGGCCAAAAAGGGGCCAAAAATAAGCATTTTTCTAGTTTCCAGACAATAACTTGTGTTCAAGTGTATGGATCTCTCTGAAATTGTACTGCAAGGTACCATACCACAAAGGGAAGGTTGGGATTGAGTTTGGGGGTGATGAATCATAGGGGGGTTTTCTTTTTTTCCTTTTTTTTTTCTTTTAAAATTTTCCATTTTAAGTTGGTTATATCTGATTAATATTTAAAAGCAAATAATAATGATATGGTAGGAGATACACACCAAACAGGATGTGTAAATTATTATATAATAATAAGTATTGTGCAATAGCAAGAAATTTTCAATTGCACAGTATTGCACAATTGCAAGAAATCTTCAATTGCACAGTATTGCGCAATAACAAGAAATCTTCAATTGCACAGTATTGCACAATAGCAAGAAATATCCAATAGCACAATATTGTGCAATAGCAAGAAATATTCAATTGCACAGTATTGTGCAAAAGAAGATACTTCGTATAAATTGCTTATTTCTTGATCAATTTCAATGGGGTTTTATTCTTGAATTCTTGGGGTTCTTTAATATGCTGAATCTAACCGTGTATTAAGTTTTTGGATTTTGGGCCCCGTTTTTAAATTGGTCCACATTGAGGTCCAAAGGGTCCAAAATTTAACTTTGTTTGATTTCATCAAAAATTGAATTATTGGGGTTCTTTGATATGCCGAATCTAACCGTGTATTTAGATTCTTAATTTTTGGTTCCGTTTTCAAATTGGTCTACATTAAGGTCAAAAGGGTCCAAAATTAAACTTAGTTTGATTTTAACAAAAATTGAATTTTTAGGGTACTTTGATATGCTGAATCTAAACATGTATTTAGATTTTTGATTATGGGCCCAGTTTTCAAGTTGGTCCAAATCGGGGTCCAAAATTAAACTTTGTTTGATTTCAACAAAAATTGAATATATGGGGTTCTTTGATATGCTGAATCTAACCATGTATTTAGATTTTTGATTTTTGGGCCCCGTTATCAACTTTGTCCACATTGAGGTCAAAAGGGTCCAAAATTAAACTTTGTTTGATTTCATCAAAAATTGAATTCTTGGGGTTCTTTGATATGCTGAATCTAACCATGTATTTAGATTTTTTATTTGTGGACCCACTATCAAATTGGTTCATATTGAGGTCAAAAGGGTCCAAAATTAAACTTTGTTTGATTTCATCAAAAATTGAATTATTGGGGTTCTTTGATATGCCAAATCTAACCGTGTATTTAGATTTTTAATTTTGGGTCCCGTTTTTAAATTGGTCTACATTAAGGTCCAAAGGGTCCAAAATTAAACTTAGTTTGATTTTAACAAAAATTGATTTCTTGGGGTTCTTTGATATGCTAAATCTAAACATGTGTTTAGATTTTTTATTATGGGCCCAGTTTTCAAGTTGGTCCAAGTTGGGGTCCAAAATTAAACTTTGTTTGATTTCAACAAAAATTGAAGATATGGGGTTCTTTGATATGCTGAATCTAAACATGTATTTAGATTTTAGATTTTTGGCCCAGTTTTCAAGTTGGTCCAAATTGGGGTCCAAAATTAAACTTTGTTTGATTTCAACAAAAATTGAATATATGGGGTTCTTTGATATGCTGAATCTTACCATGTATTTAGATTTTTTATTTGTGGGCCCGCTATCAAATTGGTTCATATTGAGGTCAAAAGGGTCCAAAATTAAACTTTGTTTGATTTCATCAAAAATTTGATTATTGGGGTTCTTTGATATGCCAAATCTAACCGTGTATTTAGATTTTTAATTTTGGGTCCCGTTTTTTAAATTGGTCTACATTAAGGTCCAAAGGGTCCAAAATTAAACTTAGTTTGATTTTAACAAAAATTGAATTTTTGGGGTTCTTTGATATGCTGAATCTAAACATGTGTTTAGATTTTTTATTATGGGACCAGTTTTCAAGTTGGTCCAAGTTGGGGTCCAAAATTAAACTTTGTTTGATTTCAACAAAAATTGAATATATGGGGTTCTTTGATATGCTGAATCTAAACATGTATTTAGATTTTAGATTTTTGGCCCAGTTTTCAAGTTGGTCCAAATTGGGGTCCAAAATTAAACTTTGTTTGATTTCAACAAAAATTGAATATATGGGGTTCTTTGATATGCTGAATCTTACCATGTATTTAGATTTTTTATTTTGTGGGCCCGCTATCAAATTGGTTCATATTGAGGTCAAAAGGGTCCAAAATTAAACTTTGTTTGATTTCATCAAAAATTGAATTATTGGGGTTCTTTGATATGCCAAATCTAACCGTGTTTTTAAATTTTTAATTTTGGGTCCCGTTTTTTAAATTGGTCTACATTAAGGTCCAAAGGGTCCAAAATTAAACTTAGTTTGATTTTAACAAAAATTGAATTCTTGGGGTACTTTGATATGCTGAATCTAAACATGTGTTTAGATTTTTTATTATGGGACCAGTTTTCAAGTTTGTTCAAGTTGGGGTCCAAAATTAAACTTTGTTTGATTTCAACAAAAATTGAATATATGGGGTTCTTTGATATGCTGAATCTAACCATGTATTTTGATTTTGGACATTGGACCATAATAGGTAAATTAAAAAAATTGAAGTTCTTAGGCCACATTCTTTCTGTGTCAGAACCTATGTGTCAAATATTTAATCACAATCCAAATTCAGAGCTGTATCAAGCTTGAATGTTGTGTCCATACTTGCCCCAACTGTTCAGGGTTCGACCTCTGCGGTCGTATCAAGCTGCGCCCAGCGAAGCATTTTATTATACTTCGTTCTTATGTTGTACCGTTACATCACTGTCCCAGGTTAGGGGGAGGGTTGGAATCCCGCTAACATGTTTAACCCCGCCACATTCTAAAATTGAGAATGGAAATGGGGAATGTGTCAAAGAGACAACAACCCGACCATAGAGCAGACAACAGCCGAAGGCCACCAATGGGTCTTCAATGCAGCGAGGAACTCCCGCACCCGGAGGCGTCCTT